AATTAAAAATAAGAAACTGAGATTCTAATGATTTTATCTATCCCCAAAAATGAACATTGAACAATAGCCCTGTGAAATGGGTGAATGGCATAGCATATGTCAAAAATATCCCTAGAAATCAAAATAAAATAGTTATTAGGGACCTTTTTAAAAAAAATAAAAAATGCAGCTGGTATAGTTTTCGCTTCTGTACAAGAATTTTTATATCAATTTCTACAATTGAAGGGATAGAGGTTTTTCATGAAAAAAGTTGGATGGCAACTTGGACGCCTTTGACTTGTTTGTAGAATTTGTCCTGGAAACGAAAATATGTGCACTGACAACCACAATAGATCCAGGGAACTATACGAACTCACAGCCGCCCTTCACCAAAACGACTATCCCCTCTCCCAAATACAAAGATCCATTCAACGACAGCAAACACAAACCCCACCCCACGAGTTACCCGAGGAACAGACCAACCAGACAAAAGCTTTTCTCCCCTACATCCATGGAGTCACTGACAAAGTGAGTCGAATTCTGAAGAAACATAACGTAAAGACAGTATTCATAGCCAACAACCAAATCTCCACTATGATAAGAACACCCAAGGACACGATACCCAATGAAGCACAGGGCATATACGAAATACCATGTTCAAACTGCCCCAGAACTTATATCGGCCAGACCAATAGAAGAATTTCCAACAGAGCCTATGAACATGAACTAGCAGTCCGTAAATCAGATCCAGCATCATCTCTCTTTAAACACCACCAGGAAACAAGCCACACAATAAGCTTCGAAAACACCAAGACCATTGCTACGGAGAAAAATCTTCAGGCCAGGATAATTCGGGAAGCAATCGAAATTGAAAAACACCCCAACTTCCTTAACAAGCGAGATGATTCGCAGAGACTACCACAAACATGGAGAACATTGATTTCACGCAAGATACCTGTAAATAACTCTAGTACCCGGTCAGGCAAACCAGATACCTGCTGCAATAACATAAATATGGTACCAGTTCGAGAGTGACCAGTCCGAACTTAGAGTGGAACACAGCACACATAGAACTAGTAACGAGACTTGGGGACAAGGGAGATTATGACCTCGTCCTCGAGTCATGTAAGTACAAATCAGATACACTCTCTGAAACAAGCTATCTGAGGGAAGAAAACAAAATCCTAAGGCAAATAATCATGGACAAGGACACAATCATCAGGGACAAAGACACACTCATTGCACTTTTATCTGAAAAAATCATACTCCTGGAAAATAACCCATCTTTAAAGTTCATAGAAGCATCAACTAATCAACCTGATCACAAAAAAACTGCCCAAAGTAACTCTAATCTCCCTAATGATACAAAAAAAGACCAAAGTAAAAACAACCGAGCATCTATGAAATCCAATA